CGTGCAGATCCACAATGAGATGTTTGTCTCGTGAAATCAAAATTTCATGACAAGCGTGAGATACCTGAGATAAACATTCTTGAGTGCTTAATCTCTTGTATAAGTTTTAACGTGTAAACAAAATGCATCGCGAATCTCATATGAAACGTTATTTATCGTGAGATAAAACTTGTTTATAGGGAATTGAGTGATCTAAATGAACAGAGGTTTGAACAGGAAACATTTTAGTAGTAGATTTGATCTGCAAAGCTTCTCTATGAGGCCATAGGATGGTTGCTTGTATAAGAAGGCAACATGCCACAGCTTAGTGAGCGCTATCGTGATATCAAGAGCAACGACATGAGCCTCACCGTAATTGCGTGACGTAAGCTAGAGGATCGCTGGGTCAGAATACCGCCTGTCACTAATCAATTCTGAAGTAGGTTAGGTTTATTGTGAGTGCATCAATAACGATCCTCCACTGCGACTCTTTGGTCTATTGTCTTATCCCCCAGTAGCTCCGACCTCCTGAAGAAGTCGATCAACTTCCTTGGAGAAATATCCTTCAGGTCTTTTGCTTGAAGTACTACGTCTCCAAGTATGTTGTACCTGATTCCGTTAATTGCAGGGCATCTGCACAATACATGCTTGACCGTTCCATCTCCCTCCATGCACAGTCTGCACTCAGCTGCTTCCGCTCATGTGGTGACGCAATTTGCAATGACCAGTGCACAGTCCTACTAGAGCTCTGAGGCTATTCCTGTTCAGTCGTAGCAAAGAGTCTGTTACCTCCTTTGTCAAGATTGGTTCAGTTGCCTTAGCATGGGTTACTGCTAATCCCCCCCAGTATTGTCCATCTCTGCAAAGATTATTTGTTTAGCCGTCTTGTATGCGATCCCAATCGCTGGCTCAGGCACTATGAAGAGTATGCTAGCTCCACTCTTTGCCGGAGTGTCAGCTGTCTCTTTTTTCCTCTAGAACTGAGTGTCCTGGTATTCATATGAGTCGGACTTCCCTCCTCTATGCCACCGAGAGCTTCCTTGCAATTCCACACTAATTTCGATGTCGAGTAGGTGGAGTCAAGTGCATTGAGTGCGGCTTGACTATCTGAAAAAATAATTATAGTTCTGTGCCTGGAAGATCGCTGCCCAGGTTCGTAGGCTAACAGATTTTTTAATCTTTAGCTCCGGCACGAAGATACCAGCTCCAACACCTACCTCGGTCTTGAAGCCATCTGTGTATGTATCTTGTCACTGATTAGAGTTTAGCATATCTTGTTACATTTGACACAATAACAGAAGGCATTCAACGACTGTGGTGGTTTTGTAAGTCCACCAGCATGTCCGTCTCCTCCATTGTGATAAGTGAAAAGAGCTCATAAGGAATGAGACTGCAAATCAGTCGATGGACATCTGCTCGGAAAGCCACAAAGGCATTAAGTTTATCGTAAATATTGTCTAAGCTAGTATGGAATTGAATGAGCACTCTCAAAGAGATGGGGAACCGAAACAAGGTAACATTGCTCTTGGTACCAGCACTTGAAGGGCACAAAGGAAACGAAAAGGCGGATTGGACCAAGAAAAAGTCCTTAGAATGGTGGATCAGCCAACTTTGGCAGGCAATAGAGTTTATCAAAGAACGAAGACCCGCTGTTGCGGAGAACCTACTCGGTCTCAATAGGAAGGCGATAAGAGCCATAGTGGGTTTCCTGACAGGTCAGTATCCTCTAAATCGACATATGAGACTCTTGGTTCTGGCAAAGAGCATGAGGAAGCCCCAATGCATCTCCTGTGTCATTTCGAAGGCCTGACAAGGCTACGGTTTCAGATAGTAGGAACCACAGGTCCAACAGCGGAAAGCTACATGCAAGGCCCTGTGTCAAGGCTATGGAGTCTGATCAAAGGATCAATGCTGGACGCAGTGCTTTAGAAATTATATAGGGGGGTCTCAGTGACGTTCAAGGTGTTCCAGAAGCTCCCGATTTATGCATCTTCCCATCACCTTACTTAAGACAGAAGCCAGAGCCAGAGGCATGTAGTTGTAAGGGGCGGTGTTAGAACCCTTTTTTCTGGAACGAGCTGTTTTTTCTTGTTACGCCCATGTGTATGTCGTTTGTACGAAGACGAACAACGACACCGCTGCACATCATCCATGTCCAGCGTTCCATCATTAGCCTCCATGGGTTATCTACCGTGATATGGCGACCAATACGTAATACTGTTAAGTAACATGGTAATCCAACGAAGAAAAAGTCCTTAGAATAGTGGATCAGCCAACTGTGGCAAAGACAGGAAAAAGAGTTTATCAAAGAACGAAGACCCGCTTTTGCCGACGACCTACTCGGTCTCAATAGGAAGGCCGTAAGAGCCATGTGGGTCTCCTGACAGGTCACTATCCTCTAAATCGACATATGAGACTCTTGGATCTGGCAAAGAGCATGAGGAAGCCCCAGTGCATCTCCTGTGTCATTTCGAAGGCCTGAAAAGGCTACGGTTTCAGGTAGCAGGAACCACAGGTCCAACAGCGGAAAGCTACATGCAAGGCCCTGTGTCAAGGCTATGGAGCCTGATGAAAGGGGGGTGACAATAGATCCACTTGGATCCCAGCGACGTTCAAGGTGCTCCAGAAGCTCCCGATTTATGCACCTGCCCATCACCTTACTTAAAACAGAAGCCAGAGCCAGAGGCATGTAGTTGTAAGGGGCGGTGTTAGAACCCTTTTGTCTGGAACGAGCTGTTTTTCTTGTTACGCCCGTGTGTATGTCGTTTGTACGAAGACGAGCAACGACACCGCTGCACATCATCCATGTCCAGCGTTCCATCATTAGCCTCCATGGGTTATCTACCGTGATATGGCGTCCAATACGTAATACTGTTAAGTAACATGGTAATCCAACGAGACGCCCGCATTTTGAAATCACACACCGCTGGAAGGTGTAATTTCATCGAATGATGACTGTGATGTTGTCATCTTCGACTCAGTCGCTGTGTCTTCGAAACAGGAAATTGATACTGTTGCTAGTTGGGGACACGCGACGAACCAAGCGTGGTGGGCTGTCCACTTCGCCGATTTGATGTTACCTAACTGCCGCGCAGGTTAATGGTTAATGGCTCAGGCTAGGAAGCAAAACGTACCTGCTGAAATTGCCAAAATGGAACAGAAAAAAACAAATAACGAAACAAGAGTAAACTGAAAAGATAAACAAGAGAACTGATATACAGGGTGGTGACTGGGTTTCAGCACATGGCGTCTGTGGACATTGGCAACAGCTGAATCATCTCCCTTCCTCAGGGGCTGCTTGGAACTCTCATTACAGGACAGGGCGTGGAAAAGTCGTCAGGGCTTCATCTGAAGGTATCAGCAGTAGTTTGGTGGAGAAAACGTAAGGTGAAGAAGACGAAAAGTTGGAAGAAGATGAAAAAGGCCTCTGTTGGAGTGTGGCCTAAAAGTGTCGGCTAGAACGCCGTAAAAGCGTCGAAGACTCCCGTTTCCCACATCCCCGTAGGATTATATGAGACATGAAAAGGAAGAACGCTTAGACTTTATTTGGCGTAAAGATCCGCAAAATGCGTGTTTCTCAACAGAGCTACGACCAAAAAGTGAAGTCTCTTCAACTTGGACACGGAACACAAAGTTCGAGAGGAGCAATGGAGCAATGGAACAACAGCGAACTTTTCCCGGACTGAAAGGACCGAACACTTGTCAAAATTAACATTGAGGTTAGGAAAGAAACGAAGACGTAAACAATTCTCAGATGAAGGGGCCTCAACTACAAAGTGAGATAATAGGTGGAGAGTTACGTATAAACCATAGAGAAAATCTTCAGGTAGTTAAACTAGAAATATGTCTACCCTTGTTTAGTGCTTACGATTATTGCAGGGTCACGGCAGTTCCTACAAGGTTTTCAAATTAAACCCGTAACATACATTTTTTTTTTTTGAGAATTCAACTTATTTCGTAACAGTGCATATGTGGTTAAAATTTGTCGGATAAGTTGTGAAACACCCTGTATACCAACATGGTCATGGATTGAGTTTTGTTTGACTTTGATGTTAATTTATTTATTGCAAACCATTCAAGGACGTCGGACGTACAAGTCGGAGTCAGATTATCCAAGTTGGTAACGGAATAGTGAGTAGTTTTGTTGGTAAGCCAATTGGGCAAGTCATTTACGTATAACGAGAATAAGAGAGGGCCGAGGATAGAACCTTGCGGAACACCGTGCGAGACTGGATTTGCAGCCATTGTATTCCAGGAATCGGTTAGGTATGGATCGAATGAGTAAAGTTATTTCAGGAAGCGCTCCGGTAACGGAGAAAGGTGAATATTCTCTAGTCTGACCGTTGGCGCGGGCGTCGTGCTCTTAATCCTGAACGTTCCCGGATGACCTGTTTATCCCCTGTCGACCGGTTAAGAGGATGAGCAGGGATGTAGGTAATAGGATGTGAGGTCCACGGCTTCACGGCGACGATACAACACGGTTCGCCAACCGACACTTCACGGGATTCTCGTACTCGGTTGTCGATTCCGGGATATACTGATACTTGATACGGCCGAATCATGAACGTACTATCACGACTATGACGTGGGGGGCGAGTTTGCTCTGGTTCGAGAAGACTCGTTGGTGTGGAGGCAAAAACAATGTCAAAATGTATTCACAACACGCCGCATTTTAAGGTTATCGCTGGGAATTAAATCCCATTGGACTAATATAAAAAACTATGTGACTTCAAACAGTAGTACATTCAAATTTTCTGACGTGAAAACTTTCGTTTTACGAAGCTGTCAACAGAGTGACAACAAACCGTTGGAAAGATTGCATCCGTTGCGTTCAAGAGCCAATCGAAACAAAGATATGGGATCTGCATAGTATGATCGATAGCCAATTTGAACCTGTAATAATTAACATTAACCATTTGGACGATGATTTAAGTACTTCCAGGGAATAAGGAATTGTAAAAAGTATGTGCACTTCTTTCCATTAAAATAATCATTTATTTTGTTAGATTATTTATTTATTTATGTTAATCCATCCAACAGGCAGGGAAAAAACAAAAACCAAGACCATTGAGGAAAATCCGGACCTGTACAATCTCGCTTTTGGGCATGTTGTGTTTTGTCTGGACGTAAACGGACTACGAAACGGGTATAGGTTTTGAAATCCATACATGATTTCCCTATTCACTTCGAAGTTTGACCGAAATTCGGCTCGATCACAATAGTGGGTATGCGTTTCTCAATTCAAACAAAAATTCGTTTGTCCCCCTTTTTGAATAAAATTATGCAAAAACCGAATCAGGATATTGCCGGAACGCATGCGAAGATGCTTCCTGGATAACATCTGCTAAGTTTTTAGTAGGAATTTTCGTCACGTTGCCCTTCCCCAAATCTGACATTTCCGCGATCGCCGATATAGTTGGGTGTGTCACTGGGTCGCGCATCGGACGGTTTTTGGAACATCTCCAAGAATGTCGATCGTCGATGCTATACAACGCCAGTAACCGCGCATACAGGGCGATTTACACAAACAAGATTTCTAGAGTATATCCAACACTAACATACAAAGATAGATAGACATTTATTTCTAACAACCACGTACGCAGCCAATAACAGGAAATGCTTAAAGCTAAGCGAACATACAAGGTCTGTAAATTGAATGATGATTCTGGCAACGTAGCATTGGATGTGGCAACACTGGAGGCGCCGGGCTTGGAGGGGAGAGTATATCCAAAATTAAAATACAAAGTTAGACATTTATTTTCAACAGCCACGTACGCAGCCAATAACAGGAAATGCTTAAAGATAAGCGGACATACAAGGTCTGTAAATTAAATGATGATTCTGGCAACGTAGCGTTGGATCTGGCAACACTGGAGGCGCCGGGCTTGGAGGGGAGAGTATATCCAAAACTAACATACAAAGATAGATAGACATTTATTTTCAACAGCCACGTACGCGGTTAATAACAGGAAATGCTTAAAGCTAAGCGAACATACAAGGTATGTAAATTAAATGATGATTCTGGCAACGTAGCGTTGGATCTGGCAAGACTGGAGGCACCGGGCTTGGAGGGAAGAGTATATCCAAAACTAGCATAAAAAGATAGATGGACATTTATTTCCAACAGCCACGTACGCAGTTAATAACAGGAAATGCTTAAAGCTAAGCGAACATACAAGGTCTGTAAATTAAATGATGATTCTGGCAACGTAGCATTGGATCTGGCAACACTGGAGGCGCCGGGCTTGGAGGCGAGAGTATATCCAAAACTAATATACAAAGATAGATAGACATTTATTTTCAACAGCCACGTAGGCAGTCAATAACAGGAAATGCTTAAAGCTAAGCGAACATTCAAGGTCTGTAAATTAAATGATGATTCTGGCAACGTAGCGCTGGATCTGGCAACACTGGAGGCGCCGGGCTTGGTGGGGAGACTATATGCATAACTAACATAAAAAGATAGATAGACGTTTATGTCCAACAGCCAAGTACGCAGTCAATAACAGGAAATGCTTAAAGCTAAGCGGACATACAAGGTCTGTAAATTAAATGATGATTCTGGCAACGTAGCATTGGATCTGGCAACACTGGAGGCACCGGGCTTGGAGGGAAGAGTATATCCAAAACTAGCATAAAAAGATAGATGACATTTATTTCCAACAGCCACGTACGCAGTTAATAACAGGAAATGCTTAAAGCTAAGCGAACATAAACGGTCTGTAAATTAAATGATGATTCTGGCAACGTAGCATTGGATCTGGCAACACTGGAGGCACCGGGCTTAGAGGGAAGAGTATATCCAAAACTAGCATAAAAAGATAGATGGACATTTATTTCCAACAGCCACGTACGCAGCCAATAACAGGAAATGCTTAAAACTAAGCGAAAATACAAGGTCTGTAAATTAAATGATGATTCTGGCAACGTAGCATTGGATCTGGCAACACTGGAGGCGCCAGGCTTGGAGGGGGGAGTATATCCAAAACTAACATACAAAGATACATATACATTTATTTTCAACAGCCGCGTAGGCAGTCAATAACAGGAAATGCTTAAAGCTAAGCGAACATACAAGGTCAGTAAATTAAATGATGATTCTGGCAACGTAGCGTTGGATCTGGCAACACTGGAGGCGCCGGGCTTGGTGGGGAAACTATATGCAAAACTAACATAAAAAGATAGATAGACGTTTATATCCAACAGCCACGCTCGCAGCCAATAACAGAAAATGCTTAAAGCTAAGCGAACATACAAGGTCTGTAAATTAAATGATGATTCTGGCAACGTAGCTTTGGATCTGGCAACACTGGAGGCGCCGGGCTTGGAGGGGAGAGTATATCCAAAACTAACATACAAAGATAGATAGACATTTATTTTCAACAGCCACGTAGGCAGTCAACAACAGGAAATGCTTAAAGCTAAGCGAACATACAAGGTCTGTAAATTAAATGATGATTCTGGCAACGTAGCGTTGGATCTGGCAACACTGGAGGCGCCGGGCTTGGAGGGGAGGGTATATCCAAAACTAACATAAAAAGATAGATCGACGTTTATTTCCAACAGCCACGTACGCAGCCAATAACAGGAAATGCTTAAAGCTAAGCGAACATACAAGGTCTGTAAATTAAATGATGATTCTGGCAACGTAGCATTGGATCTGGCAACACTGGAGGCGCCGGGCTTGGAGGGGAGAGTATATCCAAAACTAACATACAAAGATAGATAGACATTTATTTCCAACAGCCACGTACACAGTCAATAACAGGAAATGCTTAAAGCTAAGCGAACATACATGGTCTGAAAATTAAATGATGATTCTCGCAACGTAGCGTTGGATCTGGCAACACTGGAGGCGCCGGGCTTGGAGAGGAGAGTATATCCAAAACTAACATACAAAGATAGATAGACATTTATTTTCAACAGCCACGTAGGCAGTCAATAACAGGAAATGATTAAAGCTAACCGAACATACAAGGTCTGTAAATTAAATGATGATTCTGGCAACGTAGCATTGGATCTGGCAACACTGGAGGCGCCGGGCTTGGAGGGGAGAGTATATCCAAAACTAACATACAAAGATAGATAGACATTTATTTTCAACAGCCACGTAGGCAGTCAATAGCGGGAAATGCTTAAAGCTAAGCGAACATACAAGGTCAGTAAATTAAATGATGATTCTGGCAACGTAGCGTTGGATCTGGCCACACTGGAGGCGCCGGGCTTGGAGGGGAGAGTATATCCAAAACTAACATACAAAGATAGATAGACATTTATTTTCAACAGCAACGTAGGCAGTCAATAACAGGAAATTCTTAAATCTAAGCGAACATACAAGGTCTGTAAATTAAATGATGATTCTGACAACGTAGCATTGGATCTGGCCACACTGGAGGCGCCGGGCTTGGAGGGGAGAGTATATCCAAAACTAACATAAAAAGATAGATGGACATTTATTTCCAACAGCCACGTACGCAGTCAATAACAGGAAATGCTTAAAGCTAAGCGAACATACCAGGTCTGTAAATTAAATGATGATTATGGCAACGTAGTGCTGGATCTGGCCACACTGGAGGCGCCGGGCTTGGAGGGGAGAGTATATCCAAAACTAACATACAAAGATAGATAGACATTTATTTTCAACAGCAACGTAGGCAGTCAATAACAGGAAATGCTTATATCTAAGCGAACATACAAGGTCTGTAAATTAAATGATGATTCTGGCAACGTAGCATTGGATCTGGCAAGACTGGAGGCACCGGGCTTGGAGGGAAGAGTATATCCAAAACTAACATAAAAAGATAGATGGACATTTATTTCCAACAGCCAAGTACGCAGTCAATAACAGGAAATGCTTAAAGCTAAGCGAACATACAAGGTCTGTAAATTAAATGATGATACTGGCAACGCAGTGCTGGATCTGGCAACACTGGAGGCGCCGGGCTTGGAGGGGAGACAGGGCAGTATTTGCGGTCTTTTTTGTGAAAAGGTTTTTTCTATTGTGTTCTAAAATTGAGTGGCATCAAAGCGGGCGCTGTAGTGATTTCCCCAACATATAAATAACCCGTCGCGGGAAGAACCACTGAGTATATAATGCAAATAACAGGGGTCCTAAGACAGATCCCTGTGGTACACCAGAACAAATTTTTTTGAGGGGCAGAGTACCGTTGACTTAGACGAACGTTTTGAAACCTATTAGCGAGGTAGGTTTGAATAAACAAGAGAGGTTTTTCAGAACAGCGTGTTAAAAATTGAGATACACCTTCTCCCAATCTCCAATTTTCTGGAAATGATCAGGAGCCTTTGAAATGTCGACGAACCAAGTTTGAGCGATTCTTATTTATTTCGTAGTGAATCAAATCGAATCCATATGTTAATACCGGATAGACGCACGCTTCGATATTCTCGAATCACCCTGTAGACCCACCGACTCTTATCTGCGATGTGCTAACGCGGATTTAAATTTCAAAAAGAGTCCGTTGCATAATTCCGATCACACCCGCTCACCAAGAATTTCTTTTTTTCTCTCCTCGGCCGCTGCTGATCGCTGTGACTTACTGTGCCTCAGTAGAAAAGAGATGTGTACAAGATTTTCGACGACGATCGAATATAAATGGGCTATTTTGAATGTATATCGCCTTATTGGCGATGGAACAATGCTTTAATGTACCATAAGTTTCGTCTCTGTCGTCTGAAATCTGGGTACAGGCTGAATAATAAGATGATGCCTTTCTCAGTTGCGACTGATGTGTTTATTGGAAATATATTTGTTTTCTGTTCACATTTGACCCTTTTTTCTCTGAATCGGAGATTGTGCCTGTTTCTCATAGTACTTACCTGTGGGGATTTGGAGTAATGGAAAGCTTTAATTCTCTACATGACTATTGTCTATTAAATACACGAAGACCCCGAAAACTTAGCTCAGTCCTCAAATATGACCTAGGCAATGACCTTAGGGATCATTTGGAAATCACGTTTGTAAATTTAAACACTAATGACCATTCTTGACAACATTCGTGACAAGCTTGAGATTCTAAATCAGAGTGCATTTTCATACATGAGGTCAAGCGGTAATAAAAGGTTGAG